TTGCCTAACATATCCTGACACGTTGAGAGAGCCGAATCCACGCCGATCAAAATGCTAAATCACAGTATTTGTGCTGTTAGCGATCATGTCTATGCATCTGCATAAATATGCAAACTTGTATGATTCATGTTAAATCTCTTCACACTCACTGTGCCAGCAAACTGCAGTGAGGTAAATTGTGGTATGAAAACTGGGTTTGATAATAGGGTTTTTGTTAAGGTCCCAGGTCTAAGGCTAGGGTTTTTGTATTATTAAATGAATAAGCATAGGGAGAGCCGAATGTCTGCTGGACAACAGAGCCCTTTAAATGCATCAGTTTTACATCATCAGACAACTGAGGAAAGCAAACAAAATTTTTACATGGAACTGGAAGAACATACCAACAGACTCTTCATCAAATCAAGGATAACCAAACCGACATATTTGTTTTAGTTTTAATCCTTTAAGATCTTAGACTCAAGCTAAAGGTTTGATTTTTGTTTGTTTGTTTTTTAATGTAAATGGATTTTGATCTATGTCACTTGGCATGACTGCTTTTTTTGTTTCTTGGTTGCCAAGACTCAGGAGAACTCCTTTTTGAAAGAAAATGTCATATTTAAATAGCCGATGGAGTTTGAATTGGGGTCATTGCTAATGATGCCCTAGGCCTCAAGGAACTGTGCTATATTGGAAATAAAAAGATTATATGAAAATGTTGGGATATGCAGATTGATGGCAAAAGGAAATTTGTTTTTAAACTTAGTTTGCAAAATGTCAGCTTTGAATTCCCACAAAAATATCAGTAAACTTTTTTTGAAAGGACAGAAGAGAAAGCTACCTAGACAAGTATGTCTAGGTGTCTCTCTACTGTCCTTTCAAGTTTAAGTCTGACTTTTGTTTCAGCCAAAAGATGAGCATCTCATTTTGTCAGTTAATAGCTTTCATTCCATTTATGTGGTCAAAGGGGCAAATATTCTATAAGAAGATGTGTACATTTACCTAACCCTAACCCTATGATAGACAGGTTAGTGGTGACCTGAGGGATATACTACAGAGTAAATTTACATAGTCAGGCTTTCTTATCTGACTTTCATAACATGACTTGACAAAACCTAAAACTCTAGTCAGAGGTAACGGGTATTGCAGTCATAGTTGTCGGTTTCACTGTTCAGCTTTTTGCTTCAGGCACTGTCACATCAAAAAGAGCTTCTGCACAACATGATCCCTATAAGTGCTGCCTACGCCAATCAGATGGTAATTAAATGATGATAAAAAGAAGAAAATAATAGTTAATTGCAACACTTTGACAAATAAGAAAGTAATGTTGCAGCGATGTGTTAATCTTGGGATTTAGAGCACAGAGCAATAAAAAACTGTAAACTTTTTCACGCTGCATATTTATTTCCAATGTGGTTGTTGTACATTAGACCTCTGCAACTTTAAAATCATTTATATATTTTCTGCATCACCAACAGACTGCATACAAATTCCTGTATGCAGCTGTAACATTACAGTTGAGCTTCATTTACCTAATTTTTATCAGGTACGGCTTATCAAGTTGCATTTTTAAAAAGTGCTCCTACAGCAGGGAATCTATAACTAAATCAAACTTCAGACATGCTGCACAAAAAAAGAATTAATTAAAACATGGCAGTTCCAGACAATTTTAAACTGAAACTTAGAACATAACCAGCTTTTGACCAGTTTATGCGTTCAGCATTAGAAACCAGGGTGATTTAGCCAGGTAAAAAAGGAACCAGCTTTGATGATACAGAAAACTTGACTTTAGCCCAGCAAATCTCATCTCAGTAATCTTGTTTTGTAATAGTCTGATTTTAAGAAGTTAAGCCCATTTCCACCTACTTGGCTCAGCTCGACTTGGTTTTTAAAGTGGTGGCACCCGGTACAAGGTACTTTTTGAGTACCTATTCAGCTCCAAATAGTCTGAGACCATCCGAAAAAGTCCCATCCACAGACTGCATGCCACCAATTTGCAGTGACTTCACTCAATGAGTCATGAGAGCGATTCCTTCACAAAAATCAAGGCCGCCATTTTTAAGCAAGGAAATGAGGGAAATAGCCATACAAAAAAACAACGTTCATACTCTGATTAATGCATCAGAGAGCAACTTGGGGTTAGTATCTTCCCCAAGTACACTTGGCATGCAGACTGGGGGAGCCAAGAATTGAACCACTAACATTTCGATCAGTAGTGCTCCCGATCTACAGCCACCATAGCCACGCACTAAAGCATACACAAACTGCTTTGTTATGTTTCATACTGTTAATAGGATCATCATGTACAAAAATCAATACTACGTTATATTAAAGAAGACATAAAATAGGTAACTGAGATCACAATTTAATTTAATACATAATCGACATCTGTTTTTGTACTAAAGACATCGATTCTTGCTGGCCATTAAAAAAATGCTCTTCAAACACAGAGGCTATGACCCACCACCCGAGTAACTTTTCTTGGTCAGTTTTTTTTTTTTCAGATTAATTCCTTACAACCTTTTACAATGACCTCCCTATCATGTTTTATAAAAAGCTAAATATCTAGCTACGCTAACTTTTGTAACCTATCACAAAACTATAACCACAGATAACCAGTGCTAACATCTAATAATTCACATACTGTTCATAATATTAAGTGAATATGTAAGGTAAGAAATCTCTGAGTTCATGTGTTGGGGAAATTACTTGGTAGTTTTATAAACTACGAAATTCTTCACACAAAAGTTAATTTACAGCTACTCCAGAGAAGTCTAGTATGGTTAGTTAATGCTACTAATGCTAAAATTAGTTTGCACTATGAAAATTTAAATGAAATGAAGCCATGGGGCAGAGTTGTTGAAGCTATGTTAGGAAAATTGGTGACAATCAGTGAGCAGCAATATGGCAGAAAGAGTTTTGTGGGGTCTATGATATTTGCAGATGGCATTGTGATCTGTGGTGAGAGCAGAGTCTGGAGAGGTGTTGACTTGCAATAGAAGCGCAGCAGTGAGAGTGAAAGGGAACGTTTATAAGACACTGCTGAGTCCTGCTCTGATGTATGGTTTAGAGACGCTGGCACTGACAAAAGAAAAATAGGAAGCAGAGATGGATGCAGCAGACTTGAAGGTTTTTTAAGGTTTTCATGTGGTAGTAACCAGGATGGACAGCACTAGAAACGAGTATATCAGAGGGACAGCTCAGGCTGAATGGCTTCATATACGAGTTTATTCATTAAGTGTCCAAGCCCACCTATGTTTGATCCACTCATAGAAAGCACCACTAACACTGGATACCAGCAGCTAACTGTGGAAAAGCAGTGCTTACCAAGAGAAAGTACTAAACAACAAATATCAGTATCACTGTCACTGAACAGAAGTGAGCTTCAGTGACTCCTTTCACAAAGTTTTACAGCTTCCTGAAGACTAAATAGATGTGGACACATACTGACAGCTAAGGTAAACAGTGGACTGACAGCATACACTTACTACAGATAAACCCTCAAAGGCCAAGTGTATATATTACCATGTGCCTTCACAATAGTCATGATAAAAGAAAAAGGGTATGGCTCTGATTAAAGGAGGGTCAAATACACCACCCCAAAACTGTTATAGTGTGAGTAGTGTCACACTATGTCAAAGTATGTCACACTAGGGTCACACTATAGCGTGAGTAGTTGTAGTAGTAGTAGTTGTTACTAAAAACACATACTGCAGAACTAAATCCCATGCCTCGCAGGACCGGTTGAACTAGTTTTAATCAGACCTGAAATAAATAAGAATTTGCTCCCACATGTGAATAACAACAAAGCGTCCTATGCTCAGTTTTCAGTTCTCACATGCACAGAAAGCCCTCCGGCTATAACGCCTGTGCACTTCAACTGACTTGTTTTGCTGTTTTCCCAAGTTTTAGTTAAAAACATTCGATTTAGAATGTGTTATGTTATTCATAAAAAATAGCTAAAATTAACAACTCTAACTAACTAAAATCTTGCATGTTCTGTTGTGCAAAGGTGATTGCTGTAGAAATGGAGTGTTTCAATGACCTCCTCCACAAACTGAAGGAGGTCCACGAGCGAGAAATAGAAGGTAAGTGGAAAAAATAAATAAATGATTGCAATGGGTATCCAAGAGTTCCATAAGATAATTCCAACACATATGGTCCTTAAAAGGTCTTTTATATTTTTTTCTTCAAGGATGGCAGGTGAAAGTTCAAGAGCTGTCCAACAAGAAAGGCTGGTGAGTCATTATGATATGGGCAATCACATTTAGACAGTGCTGAAAAGATGTATAAAAAGGTTCATCCAGAGTAGGCCTCAAGTCTTTGTTGACTAGACGGGTAGGTAATCAGACAGGTAGGCATGCTGGTCCTACGCCCCCCGCAAACATCACATTTCACTAACTTGGAAGGAAGCTCATGTTGCAACAAGTTATTCTGTGAGATAATGACTCACAAAATATTTGCTTAATTTCTGTGGAAAAGTAAGTAAAGAGAACTTTTTGATAATTTTGTGAAATTAGCTTTTAAAAAAACAAAATATTCATATATGTATTTTTTTATGCAGTGTATTTGTTTATTTTTGTGATTTTTCAAAAGTATGGCTGATTGTGTGGTGATATATTCAAAAATGTGACTTTTATTCTTTTTTCCCCCCTTAAAAAGCTCTATCTACTTGTCTTGAGACATTTTAATATATAAATATATAATGTTCATACATACATTTTTGTTAAGGCTGGCAGGTCAGACTCAGGCACACACTGAGTTCTTTATTTTTCAACACCACGTGCAATATATATACAAGGTGGGGGGAATAGTTCCAGGGGTCCATGGGTAGACAGGGAAAAAGGTGTTCCACTCGCTTCATTCCTCTCACTCTGCTTTCTGCTCACTCACTGTGCTCCTGAGATCCTCTCCACTCTGTACTGACACATTTTGCCAGACTGTCACACTCACGTTCAGGCATCCAGGGAAACAGGGGTTACAGGCCGGTTCCAGGGAATCTATGTATAAGAGACGGGATAAATCATTACCAAGAAGAAACTGCGAAACTCGGAGATTCTACAAATCCGGGGATTATACTGACATGTTAAACAATAGTTCAGCGACAGGACACTCTGTACCACTGCCTTAAGTAGTGGCTGGGAAACATGATGATGAGCCACAGGTGAGGGATTTGTTGCAGGTGCGTGGGCCAAAGGCAGGAGCCCAGAGTGAGCTCCACCCAGGTGCAGATAAGAGAGGGAGAGAAAGATAGAGCGAGAGAAAAATCAAAACAAAAACACATGTAACCTTGCGGGGCCAGCCGGGTAGACACAGGGACCATGATAGTACCCCCCCTCAACGGGAACCTCCAGGCTCCCACCAGGCTTACCTGGGTGCTGGCGATGAAACTCCCGGAGCATATCCTTATCCAGGATAGCTGACCGAGACACCCAGGAATGTTCCTCTAGCCTTCCTAATCGGTTCTGAAAACCCCTCCTCCGGGGTCTGGAGCCCATGATATGAGTGATACAGTACGCTGGCTGGCCATCCTCAAACCTAGTTGGTTATGGCACCAATCTGGAATGGTCCGATGTGAGCTTTCTTGACTCTGCTTGTACAGGTACATAGCGTTTGGATAGCCATACCTTCTGGCCAACTGCATATTCCGGAGCGGGGGGTCTGGCGGCTGTCAGGGAGAGTTTTGTTTCGCTCTTTAGTCCAGAGAGCGAAACCAAGCCACCTGGGAGCAGGACGGCCCAAGTGGCTTGCCACGCGCAGCGGCACCGGCACCGGCGGAGGTTATGCTGCACAGAGGTGACCCTGTGCTCCTATTTCCGAGAACAGGGGGAGGTTGGAACCCCAGGAATGCTTCAAAGGGCGACATCCCTGTGGCAGATGGGAGGCTATTGTGTTCATACAAGAGCCACGCCAGTTGTTCACTCTAGGCGGCTTGGTTTTGAGAAACGGCGATAGAGCAGCCTCCAGTTCTTGATTGGTCCACTCTGTCTGCTCTGGGGGTGACAACCAGAAGATAGACTGACCTTTGCACCCAGGGTGGAGCAGAACTCCCTCCATACCCGAGAGTTAAATTGGGGTCCTCGGGCTGAGACGATGTCCTCTGGAATGCCATGGAGCTGAACACGTGTGTGGTGAGCAGCTGAACCATTTCTATGGCTGTGGAGAGCTTTGGGAGGGCGACAAAGTGGGCAGCTTTGGAAAACCAGTCGATTATTGTCAGAATAGTGGTGTTACCTGCGGAGGGTGGCAGCCCAGTGATGAAATCGAGAGAGATGTGGGACCACGGTCGGCCAGGCTTGGGAAGAGGCTGAAGTAATCCGGACGGAGACTGCTTGGAAAGTTTGTTTTGAGCACAGGTGGTGCAGGCGGTCACATATTCCCTGGTGTCCTTTGCCAGTGAGGGCTACCAGAAGTAGCGCTGGACCCCAGGGTGGCAGGTAAAACGTGCTGTGTGGGCCAGAGCCAGGGTCGGGGTTAGTTTCCTGTGCCTCCCACATAATTGACTCGATCTCCCAAGTTACTGCTCCAACCGAGCAAGAGGCGGCTTCAGGATCAGGGATCAGATCCTGCGGAGGCATCCAGTTTCACGTTCCACGAGCCAGATCTGTAAGTGATTAGTGAAAAATTAAAGCGGGTACAGAACAGTGCCCACCTGGCCTTTCGAGAGTTAAACCTTTTGGTACTCCATGTTCTTGTGGTTAGTTCAAACGCTAAATGGCTGTGCAGTGCCTTCAAGCCAATGTCTCCATTCCTCCAGGGCGAGCTTAATGGCAAGAAACTCCCCATCTCTGATGTCATAATTGCTTGCTGGGGAGAGACGATGAGAGTAAAAATCACATGGGTGGAGCTTACCGTTTCTCCATTGTAACAGTCTTATGCATCCACCTAGTTCATGACTTGAGGACTGAGATCTGGCTGTCGTACAATGGGAGCCATGGCAAACCACTCCTTGAGATGGGAGAAGGCTTTTCGAACAGGCTGAACCCACTGAAAGGAAACTTTGGGAGAAGTATACTAGAATCTAGTAGAGCGATTTTGCTAGAGTCCCTTATAAACCAGCAATAAAAGTTGGCAAACCAGAGAAAAAACGCTGGAGCTGTCGGCAGTTAGTGGATTCGGGCCATTCAAGCACAGCTTGTATCTTTACTGGGTGAGGATTCAGGTTCCCCTGCTCAATAATATACCCCAGAAAGGCCACCAAGTCCACATGAAATTCACACTTCTCCCCCTTCACATATAGCCTACTTTCCAGTAGGCGTTGGAGGAATTGCCTCACATGGATTTCTTATTTTCTTATATCTACATTAGGTTACTTAATAAAAAGAGTTTGTAAATATAAATTCACATCAACATTAAAAAAAAATTATACAACAATTTTGTAATGTTCAACATTACATTTCTGAAGCTGTAAATAGTAACATTAAACAAAAGTAAAGACAATGACTCGTTTAATAAAAGGAAACAGAAATCATTAATATTTGTGGATTTTAGCTCACAATTAGCACAGTTGACAAAACTGTATGTCTTCCAACAAAGGCTTTCAAATAATGATCATGTTGGATGTAGTGCACATGTGGAATATTTAATAGAATTCAAATATATTTTTTGAGCCAGTCAGTGAAAATACAACACACTATTAATGTTAAATCAGTACTCTATCAACACATGGTGTAACACAAAACAACACTATATTAAACTACGTTATTACATGACGACAAATATTAACAAGCAACAATTATGTTTCTGCAGTTTCTTTGCATTAAAGCACACAGACGTTAAATTTAAAGAAAACAAGAAATGTTTCCATGTGGCTGGTAAGCTGCTGAGAGTACTAGTTAGCTAAAACATAAGTTGAAAGGTCCACACTGCAAAATGTTATAGATAACAAAAACATAACACTGGCATCAATGCATTGACTGCTTGGGGGTATAACCCAGCCATAACTAACATATGCAACATTATAGCACTAATTTTATTGAATTAGATTTTTCATGTGGTGAACCTGAACAATCCTGCTAGCTTGGTAAACATCTCCTGATCTTTCACTAATATGACCGGTATTGAAATAGTTTATTACTTTGCTCCATTCTGCTCCTTATTCTCATTTGAAGTTAAGCCATCATAGTTTACCTCTATTTCTTCTTCCAATGTTCTTTCAATGCATACTGATGTTTAAGTCATTGAAAATCATAACATGACACTGTATAAGATGGATTTCCTCCAGTATTCTAGATAGGTGCAGCAATCATTTTATTTCAGAATGTGCAAAATAATTTCTGTCACTATGTATGTGACTGTACTTTATGTACTTTTCTGTGAAGCATTTTTGTTATTTTCTTGCACAATTGCTAAATATGCAGCATCACAAAATAAATTCAGAATCATGTAAAACTCAAGGCCCTGCCTAACACTTTCCACTTTATTTATTTATTTATTTATTTATTTATTTATTTATTTATTTATTTTGCCTGTCCCGTTTGGTTCTTTTGCCATCAGAATTATTGTCTAAAGGCAAAGAAAGATGCCCAACGGATTTACTTTACCAAATGGACCATCCCAGCCTTGCTGTATTGGTCTATTTGATTCACCTTTGCTCTTATTGTTTTGTTTTGTTTTATTTTCACTTGCTGCACACAGGACAGACATAACTGGGGGAAAGAAAGGGGAGAAAGAAAGAGGGAAAGAAAAACAGCGGGGAAGAGAAACGGTGATAAAGGGCAAAAAACAATAACCAACAAAATAAACAGACAAAAAATACATTTATCAATCACCTGGATCACCTGTTGAGAAAGAAAAAAGAGAAAACAAGCAAAAAAAAAAAATCAGAGCAATATAATAAACAACATCATCGCGATGATCTATGTGAATATAACAGTAAATACTAAATATTGAATATTATTGTGCAGCACGTAGGATCGACAGCGCACAGTGTGCTTTGAGGTAGGAGCCAAAAAGGGTGTAGTTTGTGTCTGTGAGCACCTGTGTGTACACCTGTGAGCATGAGCGCGCTTGTATTTGAAAGTTTCCGTCATGTAATGAAACAGCAAATTGTATTGATATGACTGCAGTATTTAAAAAGACAGCTGCTTAGTTTTAATTGTGAGCATCATTATTGATCAATTAGCCCAGTGGTCCCCCCGACATTCTCCAACCACACACACCCATATTTAAACTGCAATAAATTACAGATAGCAATAAAATAAGCTATTAACTCTTTTACGCTATGTCCACACCTACACGGGTATTTTTGAAAACGCACGTAACACACATAACCAGCGTTTCGAATCACTGAAAACTGATTTTTTTTTTTTTTAAACTCCTGCCAGGTTGGAGATTTTCAAAAATTCCTTTTTTGCGTTTACGTGTGGACAATGAATACGAAGTTCGTCACGCAATGTCAAAGGTGTGTGCTTTTTTCACATCAGCTGTGCTCCACATTATTGTTTACATGAGATGAATTTCTAGAACGGAGGATATACAAAATACTGTTACTGTTAATTCTACTCTCTGCAGTTTTTACACGCTTACATATACACACTCAGTTACTGTCCCTTCATTTAGAAAGACAGAGGCGTCATGGTGTAATTAGTTTATGTGTAGCTGTTTTTTTTCCTGTGTAATAATATTCAAGATTGCTATCAATACATTTTCCCAAAAAAAGCCTCTCTGTGGAAAAACTGGGTTCAGAAATATAAACAACTGTGGGATACTGTTTGTCCATGATTTGGAGAGCCCAACCTGTGCTCCTGACGCAGTGGAAACCAATTCTGCTGGGGATCCCTACCTTGTCACTTGTGCAGGTGAAGCCAAAGGCAAGATATGCTTCATCATATTTTCTAGTCTATGGCTTGGAAGGAAGTTGGTTTGGAAACATATTTGCAA